CTCAATGAACAAGTGAAAACTTCCTTCCTTACTCACGCCCCAGTGCAAAAGAAATATAGTAATCGGAGTTTGGCTTGTGCATGATATCGAGATAGAGGTTATCAAACAAATGGTAAATGAAAATGAAGGGCTCTCCTCGAGTAACAAATGATTAGTACACAGCATGCAGAACGAGGGAGAGGGAGAGAGGGAGCAAGAGAGAGATAGAAGCAAACAACAGAAGTTGCCAGCACCGTGATAGGGTAAAGTAAAACAAAAAAACGCATCGAAAGTGTCCCTCCGAAATCGACAAGCAATGTATCTTCGCATAAAGGTGATCTGAAGACCACCTCTGACGCAATTTGTCTGGTGGGCTCATCACCGCCTGGCGAGGAACTTGCAAAATCCTCCATCGGGAACGCGGCGACATATTCTGTAAACGTGAATTTATGTCTTGTTTGCAGGAGTGAGGGAGGAGGAAGAATGTGAAGTAGAAGAAGAAGAAGGAGAAAGGGGAAGCGAAATCAAAGTGACGTCCTATTAGGAAATGAAGGTAACAAGGTGGGCGTTGGCGGAGGGCAGAGCGTTTTATTTGATGGACTTTGAAAAAAACGCAGAACAAGGGAGTATCTAGTCCTCGGCAACACTCACTTCCAACTCCTCCACGGCTGGATACTCCACTGTATAGCGGAGGACAATTTCTTTCGTTTCGCCTAAAAAATAATTTGGCAAAAACTTGGCTCCCAACTGCACGCCGGTCTGACAGAAAGAGGCTTTGAAGTGCATTAAAGCTAATCATTTCTCCTCTACTGCTATTGGCTGGGCAGAATGTACACATTTCATATTACAAGGACATATTTCTCATTGCAGAACTTTGAGAATTAAATCATAATCTACCTGCATGGAGATCAAGGTCCCACTCAATGTTGTGGTGCTTGTTCATACGAATTGGCTTCTTCTTGTCGTACTTCTCTGGATTCTTGATGTTGGGCTCAATGAGATTAACCTGGAAACGCGTAAAAATAACAAAATGCAGTCGAGGTGCAGAGTGATGTTGAGCAAATAAGCCCTTTTGTTTTGTAAAAGTGCGAAGGACATCACACACACCCACACACACGGGTAGTTTGCAACTTTAAGTACAGGCAGAAGTTAAAACACTAAAGTTTCTAACAAAGGTGAGGGCAACTAACTCCTTGTATTCAGAACGGAAAATGAAGTTAAAATGGATGTCATATGGGGAAAAAAAAACAAACCTTAATCTTATCCTCTCCACTGGAAGGCAGTTGATCGACAACCATCACACGGACAGGTCGTTGGAAGGTGTTGCGCACATCGATGACCTGCTTGAAGCTTACCGTAGCCTTCTGACCGGAGGCGTTCTCCTTCGACTTGAACATAGGCCGATAGATCACCTCTATGCCCGATTCGGCGCCTAAATCGCAGGCAAGTTCTTCGCCTGGTGCCACGGCGCCCAATTCCGACTGAAGGGAATGAAGTAGTACGAATTTGGTTCGCATAAAACATCCAATTCATTCCTCATGGTCTGACTGAGGAAACGAAACTCTGAAGCTCCTCTTCAGTGGAATGATGTGTTGATATTGGTGGTTCACTTACCTTACCAATGAAGGTGTTGTCCGAGTAGATATTGGTCTGGCCCGGCAAAATGTAAAAGTTGCTGGAGTTTTTGACATGCGCTTTGAGGAAAGCGGAGAGCGATCTCTTGGGCACAGTGACGTAGTCATACGAGGGTTGCAGGTCAATTAGACCTACAGTAACACGAACCTCCTCATTGTTACACGCTACAATTGCAGGCGGTCGTGGCACCTCAAAGATCACCGTGGCAACAGCTGGAGTTGGTGTTGTCGCCAATTTAGCAGTTGACGCGGTTTGTACTTCATTGGGAGGTGCAGCATTCACCAAAAGGCTCGTTCCCAATGCCTGACGTGAGGCTGCACGATTCATGGAGGTACCACGAAGCGTGGATGTACCCGTTTCATTATAGCTTGGAGCGCGTTGAAGAGTTCCATGTGGTGTGGATACAATTCGAGGTGACTAAAGCAACACATCCAGAACGCAAAATCAACCAGTGAAAAACGACTGTCACTGTCAGGCAAATCACTATTTGCTTATCATAGATCATCAGTTTTGCTGTCAAACTGGTACCCACGAGTGTAACTACCTGAGTGAAATGTAAAATCAGTTATGATGTATTGGCAGTTCGTTTGGTCGCAATTCTGTCTGTACAGGTATTTCGTCTTTGGAGTGTTCTAGCAGCCGTTAAATGTCGCCTTTTCAGTACTCTGACCTACTGAGACTGCAGCACAACTTCAAATCACTACACTAGTGGTGATGACAGCGACAATGCCATCACACGAGTAATCCACTACAGGTGGATGAAGGCTTGGTGACTGGGTTGATGAGAATCACCTCATTCCAAAGTAACCTTCCACTTGAATTATGTCGAAAAGTCCTCAGTAAAAGTGTCGCTGCTTCTACTAGTCGAACAGAAATTGATTAGTCAGATAGGTAGAAAGGCGGAGAACTGTGAAAAGAAGACAATTGAAAGGAGAGGGATCAATGAAAACCATCAATCCCAACTACTGGTTGGTATTCGTGATGTCCTCGTTGTAGAGTGTTATCCAACCATTAGCAATACACATTCCACTCCAAAGGCGATCGAACCGCCGAGTCCTGGGGAATGAACGCCTAATCACACACATCAGTGCCTCGACTGATGTTCAAGGATGAAGAGGTGCTTCATTTGTTTCACTTATCCCCTATGCATGAGACTCGGCAATTTCCTCAGTCTGAGTCCGCACCCTGTGGCATGAAGTGGTTAGGTGGATTCAACAGGTCCTCATAAACATAAACGAGGGTTAAAAAAATTAAGTTTATAAATCTTTGGTAAATGAAATAAAC